ACACCCTTTTTTTTTTATGTACACGATAACATGCAGAAATAATAATAATTTAAACAACCAAAGGGCACATTTTGTGAGCCAACCCCCTGCCCGTCAGCACACAGTCGAGTCTAGGGTTCTCAGCTGTTCTGTCTCGCCATGCCGTCACCTCTGCCTCCTTCTCTGGTGTTGATGCTTCTCTGGTTTGGGTCCCATGTTCTGCTCATGCTCTTCTCTCTTGATGATCCTGGTGTCCTCTGTTCCTGGAATGTAAGGTTAACTACTCCCCTGCTTTATGTTACACAACTTCTACCTTTACAGTTGTGCAATTAGTCATGGTAACAGTTACCCACTATTGAGTGAGAAGAGTACTGCCCCATCTCCTTTCAACAGACCCATCTACACAAGATGAAACCTCTTCAGTGGGGATTCTACCTTTCCTTGCCCCGCACTCCAAAACTAAACTGCCTCTTGAAAACTTGTAAGCCAGCCACTTGGTGCCTTTATAGCCCCCATTTTAAGTAGCCAGTATCTTAGTTTCCCATCCCTATCAACCCTGTGTACTGAGGGGATAGGCTTGATCCTTGATGTGAAGACTCCTTCCCTCTTGTTTGGTATTTTTAGCTACTGTGTCCATAAGTTGTAGTCCTGGTGTGGTGCTGTGGGTTAATGCGCCAGACTGCAAAGCTATTTGAACTACAAGGTCGGCAGTTCAGGCTCACCAGCCACTCCTTGGAAACCCTGTAGAGGGTCACTATGGGTCAGGATTGACTGAACGGCACTTAACAACAACAACAGATCCATAAGTTAAGGTCAAGTTCATGAAATTCTAGCAAATCCTGTAGCAAACTTCTTTATCTTCTTCTAGTCTAGTTCTGATCATCAAGCCATCCAAGCTAGATCAAATGGATACTATCTGCAGATTTGGGTGTTCTTGCACACCTCCCTCCTCTTCATATCAGCTGGACTCCACACTGTCAGCTCTAGCCCTCAGTGTCCATAGGAAAATTTCATTATCTTTTGATTTCACTTTCATGAACTTTTTATGCCATCTCATATTTTGTTTCCATAGCATCCTTTCTTTTAAAATTTACTTGCTTAAACATCTATTTGAATCTACTATAAGCTTCATGAAACTATAAGCCAGAGACTATATTTATCTACCTAAATGTTATATTTCTGACATAGCACAGAGCTTGGTATTCACAATTTATGTTGAATGTATAAGTTTGCCAATTTCATAGGTGAAAAATCATAATTTGTTCTTATTTTATTTCTTTGATTACTAATGAGTTTGAATATTTTAATTTAGTTGATTGGCCATCTGTAGCTCTAAAATCTTCCTGTGATCCATTTTTCTATTGGAACTAGTTTTTGCATAATGATTCAGAGGAGTGTTTAACATTTATGGATTTTATTCCTGATGGAACATTTTCTAGTAATTCATTTATGTTTTTATTTAACAGATTTTGAGATTGAGACTGAGAAGATATTATCCATTTTTAATGAGAAATGTTCTAAAGAAGTAAAAACTACAGGATTGAGATCAAGTAGATTCTCAAGGTGTAATCCACTGGCATCCAAGATGCAGGAAGCTAGGCGTTCAGGTAAACTAGAAAGACATATGGGAAGTTCTGTGGGACAGAGACCCCGTCTTCACAAGAGAGTTAGAGAAACAGCTGTCATTTGTGGGAGGAGATCTCTAGGAAAAAGAACCCAGGAATGTGGTACATGTGATAGAAATTTGAACTTCAAGCAAAATATTGTTAGACCTCAAATAAATATAACAGGAGAGAAAGTCTTTAAATGTATTGTGTGCAGCAAAACCTTCAAGTATAGTTGAGACCTAACTAGACATCAAAGAAGTCACAGTGGGGAAAAGCCATATGAATGTGGCCGGTGTGGGAGAGCCTTTAGTCACAGCTCAAACCTTAGTCTGCATCGTCAATTTCACACAGGAAATAAACCATTTAAATGGAATGAATGTGGAAAAATTTGGAGCTCAATGCCCATCTCCTTCTCCATCAGAGAATTCATACTGGAGAAAAACCTTTTGGGTGTAGTGAATGTGGAAAGGCGTTCAGTCGAAGCTCAACTCTTATTCAACCCCATGTCATTCACACAGGAGAAAAACCTTATAAATGTAATGAGTGTGGAAGAGCCTTCAACCAGAGTCCACAGTTAATGCAGCATCAGAGAATCTGCACTGGAGAGAGACCTCATGAATGTACTCAATGTGGGAAGGCCTTCAGCCAAAGTTCAAGCCTTATCCAACATCAGAGAATCCACACTGAAGAGAAACCCCATAAGTGCAATCAGTGTGGGAAGGCCTCCAGTCAAAGCTCAAGTCTTTTTCTTCATCATAGGATTCACACAAGAGAGAAACTCTATGTATGGAATGAATGTGGCAAAGCCTTTGGTTTTAATTCACACCGGAGAAAAGCCCTATGTTTGTAATGAGTGTGGCAAAGTGTTTACTGGGAGTTCAACTCTTGTCCAGCATGAAAGAGTTCACACTGGAGAGAAGCCGTATCAATGCATTCAATGTGGGAAAGCCTTCAGTCAGAGCTCACAGCTTGCCCTACATCAGGGAGTTCACACTGGAGAGAAGCCCTGTGAATGTGTTGATTGTGGGAAAGTCTTCAGCCAGAAGTCAGCCCTCACTCAGCATCAGAAAATCCACACTGGACAGAAGCTTCGTGACTACAGACAGTGTGACCACATGAACCAACTCACACTAGAGAGAAATTCTGTATGCCTGAAGAATGTGGAAGAGCCTTTAGCCAACATACAAACCTTGTTCTGTGGGGGAATATTCACAACAAGGAGAAGTCCTTTGAATGTGGAGAAATTTTCAGACCCACCTCACAGCCCACTGGACATCAGAAAATTCATGCTGGGATGAAACTGTATAAATGTCATGACCATCAAGAAGCCTTCAGTTGGTGCCCAACCCTTACTCAACACCAGCTAGCCTAGCCTGCTGAGAGACCTCATCACTGTTGTCTGTGCAGGGATGCCTAGTCAGAGCTCACGGTTTACTGACATACGACACCAGCCAACTCATGATAGAAGGAAATCCTCCTTAAGTCATAATTCTGAAATGAAAGATACTTTATTCATCATCAAATAGATTTCCCAAGAAAGACATTTTTAATGTGATCAACATGGGAAATGGTTCATTCATTTTTCATTCTTTTGTTGTATGGACAAGACTTTGTTCTTTTTTTGTTACTCTATGTAATAATGGTGGAGTCCTGGTGTGGCACTGAAGGATGTGCATTGGACTGCTAATCGCAAGGTCGGTGGTTCAAACCCACAGGCTGCTCCTTAGCACTCCTACACAGGGTCACTGTAAGTCAGAACTGACTTGAAAGTGTTTCAAAACAACAGTGATTTAATAATAGTAATATTAAATAGAACTTAAATAAGAAAGTCTGAACAGTATTTGCAAAGCAAAATAAACAGCCCAGATCATTTTAAATGGGAAAGTAAACATGAGAAAATTTATCCTCAAAAATAAGCTTGTTTGTTGTTACGTGTCATTGAGTCAGTTCTGACTCAGCAACGCTGTTTAGGGTTTCTGAGGAGCAGCTGGTGGTTTTGAACTGCTGACCTTGTGGTTCGCAGTCTGTGCTAATCCTACAACACCGCCTGTCTGTGCAGAGGCTATAACTCATGTTCCGAAGGTAGCCAAGTGGTGCCATATTCAGATAGGAATGTAATGTAGGGAAAGTGAGCCCACCCGTAATGTCTCTGCCTTACCGGATGTAGCTCCAGTCGCATCTTTTCTTTGCTGTGTAAGCCCAGGCCTTCCCCAGTTGGAGTCAGCCTTAGTTACCTAGAGCTACGGGAACAGAATTGACCCTCAGTAGCGTAGTGGATTACAAGCGGGGCTGCAAACCATAAGGTCAGTAGTTAGAATATACCAGGTGCTCCGTGGGAGAAAGATGAGGCTTTCTGCTCCCATAAAGATTACAGCTTTGGAAACCCTATACAGGGTTGCTGTGAGTCGGAACCAACTTGGTGGCACACAGCCACCACCACCACCCACCAGCACTGTAACAGAAATGCCACCAGTGGGTGGCTTTAAAGAACAGATACTTATTTTCTCACATTTCACGGGACTAGAAGACTGAATTCAGGATATGGCTGTGTGTGTATGTGCGTCCTTCCTAGTTCAGCTTCTTGTTAGTAACTGCCAGCAATCCTCAGCATTCAGTGGCTTGCATAGGCATCTGTCTCCACCATATGCCTTCCCCTTCCTCTGTATGTGTCTCTGTGTCTCCTCTTTATACTTCAGACATGATTAGATTTAGGGTTCACGCTATTCTGGTGTAGTTTCATTTACATAAGAAAGGAAAACGCCTATTTCCAAACAACACGAATTGCAGGTTCAGGGTTAGGATATCAGTGCTTATGTTGGGAGGACACAGTTCAATCCACATTGTTACTATATCTGAGCCCATTGTTGGATCCATCATGTCAGCCCATCTCTTTTCTGACCCTCCACTGACCAAGCATGGCGGCCTTCTCCCGGGACAGGTCCCTCCTGATAATGTGAGACAAACTCGCCATCTTCATTCTAAGGTGAATTCTGGCTATTCTTCTTCCAAGACAGATGTGTTTGCTCTTCTACTGTACATGGTACATTTAATTCACATGTGTTCATTCTTTCTTCATTTTCTTAATTCATTGTGCAGCTCTCACATGCATGTGGTGAGTTAACAACACAATGGCTTAGGGCAGACCTATTAATTTTTAAATTGACATCTTTGCTTTTGAACAATTTAAAGAGGTCTTTTACAGATTTATCCAATGCAATATGTCATTTGATTTTTTTTTTTCATAAATGGTATTTTATTGTTTGTTTTCAGGGTCAGTACAGAGACATTATGAACAATTTGTACACAATTCTTAATTTACATACCCAAAATCTAAAAGCTGTGTAATTATAATTATTTTCTTAATTCCCATGACTTTCCAGCTTTAAATTTGGAGGGAAATTTTATTTTGTACCCAAAATTTTAAGTTCTAGTACCTGCAGTTTTTGATAGCCTGAAGTTCTACTCACAATTTAACATAACACACACTACACACTCAAATCTTCAACCTTTCGCAGCACATCACAATGTTATGAGGAAAACAGGACTACGGTGACCAGAGGTGTCATAGAATGCACACAGTTCTAACAGACAAAGTCAAGATGAGGGAAATAAGTTTACTAAAAAACAACATGGAAACAGAATTTAAAATGTTCCAAGTCATACAAATACCATGCCTCCTAATTGCCATTAAGTGTGCTCTATATTATGGGATATAAAGCTACCCCCGCCCCCCAATGGAATGTTAAGTTGACACCCAAGATAGTCAAAACCTCCCACCAGTCAACATCCCACTATTTTCTGGTTGTACCAAATAATAAACAACCAGGAAATGATTCCACCTCTTTAAAAAAAAGTGGATTCAAAATGAAGTGGATTTCCTCCTTAAAAATGTTCTACCCCGCAGGGCAGACCCCCTTCTAAGACTCAAGGGGACTACATGAGCAGGCATGTGGTCTCACGGTGACCATGTTGGTCACTGATAAGGGGAAGTGGGGGAAAAACAGCAACGAAGTTGTGAGCTGAGTCCGACCATGTTCAATAAACTCCTGTGAACCCGGTGGACACCTGGTTGGCCAGCAGTATGGCAAGTCCTGGGGCCCCTGAGCACAGAGACAGTGACATGGCCACAGAGGACTAGAACAGAGAGTGAAGTGTCCAGCTGATGAGAAGAGAGGGTATATACACAAGAACACCCATACTTGCAAATAGTACCCACTTGACCTGGCTTCAATGGCTGGATGATCAGAATTCGACTAGAAGAAAGAAGAGAAAAAAAGTATAATCTGATACAATTTGATGAACTTGACCTATACTAATGGATGTAGTAGCTCAAAAGAGGGAACAAATCTTTACAGTGAGGATCATTCCCACCCCCTCAGTACACAGGGTAGACAGGAATGGGCAACTTAGACATTGGCTACCCAAAATGGGGGCGGGGGGGGGGGGGGGGCTACAAAGGCAAGACGTGACTAGCTTACAAGCTTTCAAGAGGGAGCCTAGATCCAGAGGGTACACGGAAAGGTAGAATCCCCACTGAGTGGTTTCCAAAATAAACACCTTGACAACTTCAAGTTTTTCTTCATTTATTGTGATGTTGCATTGTTGTCCAGTTGTGGATATTTTCATTTTATGTAAAGATATAACCATGCTGAAGGCTGAGGTTAGCTTTTCATTAATAACTGCTTCAAGTCATCTTAGCTTTCAGCAAGCAAGGTTGTGTCCTCTGCATACTACAAAGTTGTTAATGAGTGAGTCTTCCTCTAATCCTGATGTTACATTCTTCATCGTATAGTCCAATTTGTTAGATTATTGGCTCAGCATACAGATTAAATAGTATGGTGAACAGATACAACCCTGACCTACAATTTTTCTTGATTTTAAACCACACAGTATCTCCTTGTACTGTTCAACATCGATTCTATTTGTCATTCTTGGTACAGTAGACCCTAAGATTGTCTGATTCAAAATTGCCAATACCAGTATTTTCAGCTCACTAATGTGTATTTACTGATGAAGATCTGCGAACCTTAAGGTCAGTGGTTCAAAACTACCAGCTGCTCCGCGGGA